CACGGGCACCGCCTCTTCGGTCGGGCACTTGCTCTTGTCGTGGCCGTAGCCCTTGCATGTCTCACATCGCACGGGCTTCCTCTCGGGGCAGTTACCCACCTGGTGGCCCTTCTTACCGCACCGGAAACAGCGACCGCGCATGCTACCCGCATCGTCATCGCCGCCTCCGCCACTGCCACCTGTGGTAGTAGACCTTCATCGGTTCTCGGTGGACAGAGGTGTCGGGGTCGGGACATGAACTTTCCATCATATTTTGTTTTTCAAATCACTGGGCACCATTTCCGAACAAAATCTCGCATTTTCCGCGGAGAGTTCACTTAACCCGACAACACCTGAGCTATGGGGTGGTGCGCTTGCATCGGTGGACCTGATCGACGGTCACGCTCTGCATGGCCTCGTCCTCTGACACGGGAATGCCGTGGTTGGCCGNGGGGGGGGGGGGGGGGGGGGGGGGGGGGGGGGGGGGGGGGGGGGGGGGGGGGGGGGGGGGGGGGGGGGGGGGGGAGTGGGTGAGAATCAATATATGAAGACGCACATAAATATCCCTCCGCTTAGCTATGCATACTACTGATGCCCGCTTCATGTCGCATCAGTGGCGCGGTATGGAGGGACCCGCTGCGACCGTGTTGTTGTCTTGACATCGAAATAAAAAACTTTCCGGTTTCTGACATGCCTTGGTCCTCAGGGGTTTGCTCGGTGTTTTTGTCTTTTACGGCCAAACATGTTTTGAAAGGGGTCCATCGCATTTCCAGAGGAAAAAGAAAGAGCAAAAAAGGTGGTGGGAAAAAAAAAAAGGCGCAGAGGAGAATCGAATCCACTGATCTCACAGCACGAACATACCACGCCCCCTGGACCGACTTCCAAAGCCTGATTATTCCACAACAGACAGATTGGCGAGGCCGGAAATGGCGGCATTGCAACTGTCTGGTCGAGAGCTTTTCGAAAATGTATCATTTGATTTTCGGATTCGTCTTCGTCGTGGAACAATACAGGTTGAGACTTGGTCAAGGGGGTGTGGTGTCTTCTGCAACCTACGGTTTCCGTTGATTCTTGCTTTCAACACGATATATATTGGTAGCCTCGCAGCCTGCTAAGGGCCAGGTCATGGGTTCGAGTCCCGGCAGAGAGAGTTTTTTTCTCACTAAATACACCCTGGTCTAGGATGAAAGCGACGCGTTGCAAAGAAAGCTCGTTTGTGAGTAAACCATAATCGACTTCGTAAGTCGCGAGGGAAGGGATTGCTGTACCCTTCTCGCGATAAAAATGCCTCAGGCATGAACCGTAGGGGGGGGTCCAACCCCCCCCTCCTATGTGACCCCGGTTGGGTCGTCAGTAGTAGAAGCGGAGGATAGGGGCCAGAGGGGCAGAAGACAGAGTCCAATGATGGGAAGAAAAAAAAAATGCATACGTGTGAACGACCTGTGCCAATCGAGCAACCCATCTAATACAATTGGGTGAGGTGTGTGTTGTATATGTGCGCGACTTGGAAGGGAGAGACTGAATATCGCTTGTATTAGAAACGCAGAAGCAAGAGAAGATAAGAAGAAGAGTGCTTCCGGAAAACAGAGAAGCAGGGGTCACAAACACAAGAACCCCAAAATGGTATGTCTACGTTCCTATCTGCGAATATATCCGTTACTGCGGTCGATCAATACCTGTCCGTATCCAAACACACGAACACCCTCCCTGGTTTTTCACGCAAGTGGCAAACCATCCGTGGGGCATGGTTACCCCTGATCAGGCCTAGGGTCTCTAAACAGTAACGGTGCAAGGGAACACCCGGCCATCCGGATCAAAAACCCTCGCCTACCCTAAACATATATATATAACCGTCGCTATCACGGAGGATTCCAATGGCCGCACTTCCAAGACAAGATCAAGGCAGGACAAATTGTACCGGGCACGGGGATTACGCATCTCTCGGTAGCGCTACGGGCGCTTCTAGGCTCCAACCTCGAGTGACGTGCCGGTAAATCCTTCCTGCGTGACGTACCATGATCATAAAGTCCAGTGC